CTGATGTTGTTTATGCCAGTGTGTAGTACCTAGGCATCTCTGATGTTGTTTATGTCAGTATGTAGTACCTAGGCATCTCTGATGTTGTTTATGCCAGTATGTAGTACCTGGGCATCTCTGATGTTGTTTATGTCAGTATGTAGTACCTGGTCATCTCTGATGTTGTTTATGCCAGTATGTAGTACCTGGGTATCTCTGATGTTGTTTATGCCAGTATGTAGTACCTAGGCATCTCTTATGTTGTTTATGCAAGTATGCAGTACCTGGATATCTCTGATGTTGTTTATGTCAGTATGTAGTACCTGGGCATCTCTGATGTTGTTTATGCCAGTGTGTAGTACCTGGGCATCTCTGATGTTGTTTATGCCAGTATGTAGTACCTGGTCATCTCTGATGTTGTTTATGCCAGTATGTAGTACCTGGGTATCTCTGATGTTGTTTATGTCAGTATGTAGTACCTGGGCATCTCTGATGTTGTTTATGCCAGTGTGTAGTACCTGGGCATCTCTGATGTTGTTTATGTCAGTATGTAGTACCTGGGTATCTCTGATGTTGTTTATGCCAGTGTGTAGTACCTAGGCATCTCTGATGTTGTTTATGTCAGTATGTAGTACCTAGGCATCTCTGATGTTGTTTATGCCAGTATGTAGTACCTAGGCATCTCTGATGTTGTTTATGTCAGTATGTAGTACCTGGTCATCTCTGATGTTGTTTATGCCAGTATGTAGTACCTGGGTATCTCTGATGTTGTTTATGTCAGTATGTAGTACCTGGGCATCTCTGATGTTGTTTATGCCAGTATGTAGTACCTGGTCATCTCTGATGTTGTTTATGCCAGTATGTAGTACCTGGGCATCTCTTATGTTGTTTATGCCAGTATGTAGTAATTAGGCATCTCTGATGTTGTTTATGCCAGCATGTAGTACCTGGGTATATCTGACGTTGTTTATGCCAGTATGTAGAACCTAGGCATCTCTGATGTTGTTTATGCCAGTGTGTAGTGCCTGGATATCTCTGATGTTGTTTAGTCACGAAATGGCTGAAATATTGCCGATGTGACTTAAAAGCTTAACTCACTCACTCACTCTGATGTTGTTTATGCCAGTATGTAGTACCTGGGTATCTCTGATGTTGTTTATGCCAGTGTGTAGTGCCTGGTCATCTCTGATGTTGTTTATGCCAGTATGTAGTGCCTGGTCATCTCTGATGTTGTTTATGCCAGTATGTTGTGCCAGGGCATCTCTGATGTTGTTTATGCCTGTATGTAGTACCAGGGCATCTCTGATGTTGTTTATGCCAGTGTGTAGTGCCTGGTCATCTCTGATGTTGTTTATGCCAGTATGTAGTACCTGGATATCTCTGATGTTGTTTATGTCAGTATGTAGTACCTGGGCATCTCTGATGTTGTTTATGCCAGTATGTAGTACCTGGTCATCTCTGATGTTGTTTATGCCAGTATGTAGTACCTGGTCATCTCTGATGTTGTTTATGCCAGTATGTAGTACCTGGGTATCTCTGATGTTGTTTATGCCAGTATGTAGTACCTGGATATCTCTGATGTTGTTTATGCCAGTATGTAGTACCTGGGCATCTCTGATGTTGTTTATGCCAGTGTGTAGTACCTGGTCATCTCTGATGTTGTTTATGCCAGTATGTAGTACCAGGGAATCTCTGATGTTGTTTATGCCAGTGTGTAGTACCTGGTCATCTCTGATGTTGTTTATGCCAGTATGTAGTACCTGGTCATCTCTGATGTTGTTTATGCCAGTATGTAGTACCAGGGTATCTCTGATGTTGTTTATGCCAGTGTGTAGTACCTGGTCATCTATGATGTTGTTTATGCTAGTATGTAGTACCAGGGTATCTCTGATGTTGTTTATGCCAGTGTGTAGTACCTGGTCATCTCTGATGTTGTTTATGCCAGTATGTAGTACCTGGATATCTCTGATGTTGTTTATGCCAGTGTGTAGTACCTGGGCATCTCTGATGTTGTTTATGCCAGTGTGTAGTACCTGTCCATCTCTTATGTTGTTTATGCCAGTATGTAGTACCTGGGCATCTCTGATGTTGTTTATGCCAGTATGTAGTACCTGGTCATCTCTGATGTTGTTTATGCCAGTATGTAGTACCAGGGCATCTCTGATGTTGTTTATGTCAGTATGTTGTACCTGGGCATCTCTGTTGTTGTTTATGCCAGTGTGTAGTGCCTGGGTATCTCTGATGTTGTTTATGCCAGTGTGTAGTACCTGGGTATCTCTGATGTTGTTTATGCCAGTGTGTAGTACCTGGGCATCTCTGATGTTGTTTATGCCAGTGTGTAGTACCTGGGCATCTCTTATGTTGTTTATGCCAGTGTGTAGTGCCTGGGTATCTCTGATGTTGTTTATGCCAGTGTGTAGTACCTGGGCATCTCTGATGTTGTTTATGCCAGTGTGTAGTACCTGGGCATCTCTGATGTTGTTTATGCCAGTGTGTAGTACCTAGGCATCTCTGATGTTGTTTATGCCAGTATGTAGTACCTGGGCATCTCTGATGTTGTTTATGCCAGTATGTAGTACCTAGGCATCTCTGATGTTTATGTCAGTGTGTAGTACCTAGGCATCTCTGATGTTGTTTATGCCAGTGTGTAGTACCTAGGCATCTCTGATGTTGTTTATGCCAGTGTGTAGTACCTGGGCATCTCTGATGTTGTTTATGCCAGTGTGTAGTACCTGGGCATTTCTGATGTTGTTTATGTCAGTGTGTAGTACCTTGGATTCTCTGATGTTGTTTATGCCAGTGTGTAGTACCTAGGTGTCCCTTGCAAAGTAACAAATCAATCATACCTTTATCAGAAACACATTTGACAAAAAGAATTTTTCCTCCGACCCAACAAGTTACTAGATTTCTAAGGAGAAAATATCCATACAAATGTAGATAGAAAAACTCAAAATCATCTTCATTGTCATGGTTTTGTTGTAAACCCATGTATTCCATGTATAGGACCCACCATAGATGGTAAAGTGTGTGACCCTTCTGTGTCAGGTATTTTGGAAATTAAGTGTCATTATGCTATAAGGGACTTGATTAGTAACCAGCATGTTCCTGTTACATCCAGTGGCACTGAGTGAGGAGAATCGGTCAGTGCGGAGTCCACGTTTCAACCAGGATCGATCAAGACTGGTGTATCTGGACAACCCAACCAGAGGAGGACACAGCAAGTGTTCACGGCTCATGTTGGTAAGTTGCTTCTCTTGCTGGTCTACATGGTGGTAACAGACCGAGCTAACTGGCATAAAGCAAGAAATCTGTTCTATTCTGTTGTATCCGATTTGATCATTCATGTTTGAGATGTTGGTAGTTACGCGTGTTCCGTAGCAATAGATTATACTCCGTACCATCTGGATGATCATGATATTGATGATGAAAGTGTATATTACCAGAATTATGTGTTTCACTTTATCCATGATAAGGATTATTTGTTTCAGTATGACTGGAACACAAAGAAAACAAGTGTAGTTCAGGACATAGTAGAGTCCGCTAAAGGTTTGTGATATGATACTCTCTGATTGTCCTGTGGACATTTCTTGCTCAATATGTTTCATAGTAATAAACCCACCTATTGTCTCAGTAAAAATGATTGTCATACAGTATATGTAACGACAATTTCAACATAATATCCTGTCGTTATCAAATTGCAGTTGGGGCTCAATAAAGCCCTATGGAAGTAATATAATGATCTGGCACATTTTTGCAAAATTTAAATAGTGAAAATTGCTTAGACAAACATGTTCTGATCTTAAGGCATCTTTCAACTATGCCAAATCTTTTTTCTCCTTAACTCATTTTTGATACTTGTACCCAAATAAGGTTGAAGTGTCATTCAATTAGATGTATGTACTGGCTTAGAAAAATAGATGCTCTGATAGTAAGACATCTTTCAAAAATGACTGCAAGTACCCTGATGTTCAAGGTACAGTCAAATCCCGATGAGTCGAATCGCTGGGGACCAAGTAATAAATTCGACTTATCGATGTATTCGAGACATGGGTATGTCTATGAGGGTAGAAAAAAAGATGATCCAGTCCTAATTCCTCCGCCTAAGCAATCTAATGAGTTCCATATCACTAATAGGGGCACCATATCAGTTCCAGTCTGATTAGCACAGACAGTGATTTCCGTAAAATCACTAATCTGCCTTTTGAACTCACCCGTCAATGGCGGAAAGGTGTGAGCCACACTGGTTTGTTAATTGGATCAGTTTGCTACACCAATCAACTTCTCATTGACTGACTTCGGCTTATGTATACGAGATTGCTGTTGTTTGAATCTCATGGGACCAAATTTCCTTCTCGAGTCATCGTGTGTATTTATGAGACGAATTCGTGTACACAACTGATGACAACTATAACAGGGAATGGTCGGGACCGACAGGTACTTCGAGTTATGCATAATATTCGAGACAACGGCATTCGACTCATCGGGATTTGACTGTATCTTCACTGAGATCTTCCTAAACGAGGGTGGTCTTCCTGGAGGTAGTCGGATAATGTTGACAACATTCAGGGGGAGTAGACAGGTGAGCTCGTTAGACTAGGGGGGTTACCTGGAGGGAGGGCTAGCGCTCCGACACTGACCGCAGTAATGACCACCAAATGACGGCTAATACACAAGGAAAACAAACATGGCAGACATGGTAAGTTAACAAGGGGAACGCTAGAACAAGTGGTAAAAAAAATTTCATAGCATTTTTATTACTACAGTTGCAATGTATATGTGTGCAGAAGAATTCTCATTCTTACTTTTGGTGAATGAAAACAGTATTATAGCTGATTCAAGACACAAAAATCGCTATCACACCCACAAAATGTAAACAATGACACCCCATTTCAACAGCAATATTTGCACTAATATTTCAAGTCAGCTCGCTATGGCCATGAAATAGTGAACATAAGACATGGAAGTGTACAACCACAGTAAAAAAAATATATCTAGAATCTTAAGTTTAGAAAAGTTGAGGATGCAAATGTTGCCGTTTTTGCCCAATGACTATGTTGTATCAGACTGATTTTGAGACACAGACCCAGCCACATGCAGTTGTACAAAGAACTTGACACGATTACTGATCAATATTTTTTTGTCATTCTTTTCACAGTTATTACAAAACTGACAAAGAAAAGCGAACAGGTTCATTTACAGCAGTACCACCAGGCCTATCTGATTATGGCTTGGGGTCTCCAAATAGGTCTTGCACCTTATTCTAGAAGTAAGGTGAATGTAAGTAAAGTTAATAAGTAAATTAATCATGACTATAATGGCTTATAAATGTTACAGTCAATCTGTCAAACCAGTCATTTGAACAATTTTAGTCAATCCATCAAATGCAAGGTGTTTGTTTTGAATGTTGACTCAACAAAGTGGTTTTCACAGAAAACACATGGTGCACATGGTTTCTCTAAACAAACACTCTGTAGTAATCAAAGATAGTATAGACCAAGGGGTAGTTAACACATACTGACTCAAAGGCTTCATCAGAATTGATAGATTTGTTTGATCTTGAGATTTACTGGTTTCATTTTACACACTACAAAAAAGATTTTTCTCCCAATGCTTTGCACATCTGAACATTACGTTATGGGTGATTTAGTTGACGAGACGTTCACACAGAAGCTGTATGAGAAGTATGAGGAGCTAAAGAAGGTGTTCATCCCCAAACAAAAGTACTGTGCCAATTGAGCTCAAACATCTTGCCTCAGTGACATCAAAGAAGACACACCAAGATTACTATCTTCTGTCAAATTATGAGATTCTTGAGTGTTGAGACTGTCAGCGACTCATCAACAAAAGGAAGACACCGGAAGATCAACCAGTCTACTATGTTCACACTGAAGAGACCTTTGACATTGTACATTATCTTCATCGAGTGTCCAACAGTCTCCATATTCAGCTCTCTTTGGAATGGAGGCCACGGTTGGATTGCGATCAACATCACTGCCTGATGACATCCTGCACAAGCTACAGACAGAGGATGACCTACTTGCAGCTACCAGTTCCCACCCAGAGCAGTTTGAGACCCGCGAGACCGACCATGTTGAAGAAGACGACAGTGCTGGACATGGTTTAAACATATTTATTTCATGAAAGAGCAACGACAGAATTTTCATGAACTGAATTGGTCAACAAGCTCAAAAGAACTTATATGAAGACCGCTCCAATATACATAGATATATGAAACAGTATCGTGACAAGAAAAGATGATATCTAAAATGAAAATAGATAGTATGACATGTAGTCGGAAAATTAAAATCATGATGGTTGTATACATTTATGGCATCTGCAGTCGGGATCCATAGTAGTATAGCTTTGAGAGTTATAGGTTTTAATATATGACTTGCTCGGTTAAAGCGCCTAGTTTACATTATGAATAGATAGACTGATTTTAAGATATGTGATTGAATTTGTGGGTCCATGGAAGATGTTCCGTATAAGATTGTTTCTAATGAAAAGCCATTGGTATAATAAAAATTTATTTACTCTTACATCATCAAATCTGAGACATACAAAGAAATAATGACTTGCATCTTCAGTATGGTGGCCACACAAACAATCTGCTCTCTCTGATATATGTCTGTTGTGTTTGTCAGCGTTGAGATCGCTACATCCTAACCTTAAGCGACAGTGGAGGATTTGACAAACTCTTGAACCTATATTTGGATCGAAATGAATTTCTTTAGCTCTGGGACTTTAGGCAGACTTAAAATCATTGATGTCTGTAAGAGATTGAATATTTTGCTGTAAAGCATTCCATAAACATACAGCGTCTGGTAGAAATGAATTGTCATATAGAGCAGTACGGCAGGCATAGTTTGCAAATGCGATGCGTTATGTAACGGATAGTTACTGACTTGAGAGATGAAGGAAGGGGCGAGTTCGTTTAGATAGTGGGGTAATCTGTTATGATACATTTTGAGAAATGTGATTAGTTTAGCTATACTTCTTCTTTCGCGAAGAGAAACAAAGGATGTTTCAGCGTAGATTTTTATCGTGACTGGTGCCGCGAACAGCTCCACATATCGTACGTAACGCGTCTAAGTGCATGTTTTCCAAGATTGTTGCTTGAGTTTTGGTACAGTTGTCATAAATATGGCTACAGTAGTCAAAGATCGGAAGTATAAATGACGTATACATACGATTCAGGGTGTTTCTCGTTAGTCGATATTTAAGGCTTCTTAAGCAATTTATCATGGGGCTGACTCTCTTACCGATATCGTTTATATGTATATCCCATGTACAATCGTTTTGAAGAGTTATACCTAAATGTTTATGGCTCGAAGTTTCTTCAATTCGAATGTAGTTGAAAAACAAGCTTGGATGAGGATTTGAATTTGGTTTCCTACTGAATAAGACTGTTTTAGTTTTAGATGGGTTGAAATCGATTTTCCAGGTTTTTGCCCAGTTTGCTATTTTTAGTAGATCATTATTCAGACTAAACGCCGCTGTGTAAGGGCCATCTATTATTACATAGATAGAAGTATATTACTGTCAATGCCTTCAACAATATCATTTATGTAGACCAAAAACAGAAGTGGTCCTAGAACAGAACCCTGTGGGATGCCAGCTTTTACCGGTTTAATATTAGAACTATAACCATTTATGACTACACGCTGGGATCTATATTCTAAATAACTTTTAAACCATTGTAATAGTGAACCATCGATTCCACAAGATTTTAACTTATGCACGAAACCTTTGTGCCATACTCGATCAAAAGCTTTGCTGATATCGCAAAATACTGCACGTATTTCCTTACCTTCGTCCATTGCCATGGCTATGAAATTATACAAATATGTCAACTGATTCACGCAAGAGTCCTCTGGGATGGAATCTGACTGTAAATTGGATAAGATGTTATTGCCTCTGAGATAGTTGAAAACATGTTTGAATATACATCGTTCAAATATTTTAGATACACAACTAGTTAAGGCTACTGGTCTGTAATTTGTACAATCATTTACCCTTCCCTTTTTGTGAATCGGTATAATGTTTGCTTCTTTCCAAACTGCCGGGAATACGCGTTGTTGAAGTGATAGATTAAAAGTCCCGTTAAAAGGGGTGAAATACTGACAGCAATTATATTTAAGAATTTTATTTCCAGTGCCGTTGGGGCCGGTTGCTTTCGCAGTATTAACACTCATAAAGATATCATATACTTCACTGTTAATAAGATTAATTTCTGATAGAATATTGATTGTCTTTATATTGATATTGGGGGGTGTTGAATCCAGATTTTCTACTCGCAATTGCCGAGTGAAATAATCATTTAGAGAATCAGTTATATCTTGTAAGTCATCGCTTACGACATCATTCAATATCAACGGGTGAAAATTAGAGTTGTTTTTATTTCTCTTCACATAATTATTGACTAATTTCCACCAGCATTTGTCCGTAGTGAATCGATTTATCGTTTCATCTAGTTTTTTTGCATACGCTCTTTCCGCTTTTCGGATAGCCGAGATTACTCTATTTCTACTTTGTCTGAATCGAGCCCAACGGGTAATAGGATTTTTACTCTTAGTGAGCTGATGATGTCTTTTGCGCTTACGTATTAGCGATCTAATTTCGTTATTCATCCAAAGTGGATCCGATGGTCGAATAGTAACAATTTTATTTGGGATATTCTTGTCACAAGTATTCCTTATTATAGTCGTTAATTTATTTGCTATGTCATCCAGATGGTTGTTTAAGAATAAGTCATTAGTGTCAAGATTATTGATGTCAGAAATCATACCATTAACATCCATATGTTGATAATCATATATTTTCAATTTAAATGTATCACACCTGGGTCTAACAGATTTGTCAGACAGTGTTGGACATAATATTGACCGTCAGATGGAGACTATCAACAGGAATAGGTCATGTGCACACGACTCCCTAAGAAAACAGGCAGAGGGGATGGTGAAGCGCAGTAAAGTTGTCATGAAAGAAGGGTGTGTGGAAGACAATGTGGCCATTCCCCTTCCAGCAGTGGACCGTGGTCGTGGTGATGCGAGGAACATTCTGGGTGTGATCACTATAGTCTGTTTGCAGTGAAAACATACCGATGAACTTCACTTTAAACCAAAAAGTAAAACAAATAAAGTGAAATTAAGACTGCGGATCCTCCTGATTTTACCTTGCCAATTGAACATATAAATCTCAGAAATTTATTCAATTTATGATAAAAGTCCTTAACAAACGATCATAGTTTCACATCACTATTATCGGTTTGTATTACAAGGGGGCATGCACATCAAATGAAACACCAAGAACGACAAGGGTTGTTCTAAGTAAACGCTCTTCACGTACCGCACGTGCATTTGTTTCACTGTTCCAACTACTGCGCTTACCCCAGTGTAATACAATCCAGTAATTTTGATTATTGATTTGAATCTATGATCGTTTGTTAAGTTGAATAAAATTCTGAGATTTAAATGTTCAATTGGCAAGGTAACATTATGTGGATTCACAATCTTAATTTCACATAATTTATATGTCGTAAACGTTCCCTCTGGATTATGGAGGTAAACAGCCAGAAGAGCCCAATTCAATGGGTATTTCATGTTCCATATCCTCAGCTGGCGGATCGTACTTGGATAAAATCCGTAAAAAAATCCATTTTGTCCTTCAATGTCCATCCGGGAATGTAATCTTCCGCCGCCGTATCTATGGAAGGCACAGTAACACAACCCTCCTTCATTATCAATTCAGGATTAGATACCGGGTAGGCTGTATGCCCCTCCGTGTCCGATAAGTCCGGGATTAACGGTAATATGGGCGGATTGTCCGTACCTATAAAGTCCTGGCAAGCCGTAGCCGTAACTGTAGCCGTAGCATGACTATCCGTGGCATTCCCCGTAGGACAAGCAGTCTTCCGCTGGGGTTCCGCCGTGAAACCCATGCTATCTGACAGCTGGTAAGGGACCGTGCCGCAGGCCTGAGCCTGACTAACGGCATCCCCCCAAGACGCACGGGCAACACAGATCCACCAGAATGTGAAACGACAGCCGGCTCTGCGGACCGTCTGGCTTGGGTACTGGACCCTAAGGGTACCCCGCACATGGCGGTGTTCCTCCCCCAGGAAAACCATACAGAAAAAAATATGAGGGCTTGGGGAGAACAATGCTGTGACGTCACGGCTAGGGGAGATGACTGTGTCACTCTTTAGGCATACCACTAAGGATAACTATGACTTTGTTTTCTTAAGAGAACTTTTTCTCTTTCATTTCTGTATGTCACTGTGATACCACAGGAAACTGGCAACCATAATCCAGAGATAAGTTTACGAACAATTACTAACAAAACTTGTAATTGTTCCTTATTTGTTTTACTTTTTTGTTTAAAGTGAAATTCATCGGTACATTTTCACTGCAAACAGACTATAATGTGAGTGACAACGGACAGTAAACAATCGCCTGCCCTGCTCATGTCCTCCAAGGCAAGTTCTCGAGGAACCATGTCGATTTGTGCCTAGAGAAACTCTTAACTTTTTATCAGAAGTCAATACTGAAACTTCAGTATCCCTTCGTACTGCTGTTGGAGCCGAGTCTTTATCATGAGGCCAGGGTTTCGTAAAGTGTAACTGTGCTGGTAGCAAAAGATGTGGAACCAAGAAATGCAAATGTTTTAAGAACAATCTTTTGTGCAACAGTCGGTGTCATTCAAGTCTCACTTGTGAAAACAAGTAATGCAAAGCTCTATGTTGAAACTGGATAAATAAAGTGTTCACTTAATTGTTTTGTGTGTTTCATTTTTTAACTTAAACGATTTAGTCACTTGGTCAAATGACTGGTCAACAATTTTAGTCATTTGGTCAAATAACTGAGAATTTTAGTCTTTTGATCAAATGACTAGTTTGACAGATTGACTGTAACATATATATATATATCTATATATCTATATATATATATCTATATCTATCTATATATATATCTCTATATCTATCTCTATATATATATCATCTTATAGTGCAGAAAGTGAATATTTCATCAGCTGATGAAATTAGTTTCAGCATTATATTTGTGCATGAATACTTCTGTCATCATGCTCAGTGTATATCCTTGCAGAACAAGGCCTCTCCACCAAGTCAAAATGGAGTGATGAAGAAATTAATGTCCTGATGAAGGACTGGACAAACATCAGACCATTCGACATCATTTTGGCAGGAGTGTGCTATTCTCCTATAGCCAAAATTTGGACCAAACAGAAGAAGTGAGTTTTGGCATTGTATTTTTTAATTTATTATAATTACAAATTAAGTTCAAGGCTCAAATTGCTTGTGCTTTGTCATCAGTTGCTTTGGTAGTAGAATCACATGTTATTATGATGTTTATTCATGATACTGCCATTGGTAAGTAAATCAATTTGAATAACAGTTTTAGAAGATACAATCATCAGTGGTTTCAATGATTAAGGTAACAGTTTATTCTTTACTCTTCCAGGCATGTCATGTCGTCTTCGATATCGAGGTCTAACTGCGAGTTGAGAAGAGCCAGATATCAACACATGTGATCTTCGTTGCAGCCCCCTAGTAATGACTACCTGAAGCGTAGAGTGCCAGACTGAGCCAGTCATTCCAGTTGTCCTCCTTGACAGGTCAAAGTTTCTTCCACCTGCTTGTTGCTCAAACTTCAGCACACAGTTAAGGACACAAGGTATTTCAACATATGAAACTGTAATCACATACACCAAGTAGATCTTGTAGAAGTCGAAAAATGTAAAAATATTTTTCCTTCTGAGCATACGGGACTCTATTTTCGCAGCACGTGAAAACATCGGGGAAGCAGAAACAGCACGCCCCGCATCGGCTGTTTATATATGCAAATTACGTAAAACAATTCATCGCTCTGGAAAAAGAGATTTATTTCACTGGAAGTCATGTCTAATCGTAGAAATATTAAACTATTCATCTTTTCAGTAAGTTCTGGAACATTTTGAAACTAGTATCACCCCTACTGCCATTACATCTAGCACTTACTTCGTCAAGAGTAATCCTGCGACAACTACAGGGCCATTTGCATATTTTCCATCCTAAGACTATAACAGGAAGTGACATATTATGCAACTTCACCCTGTACACGACAGCAAATTGTATGGTATGTTTTAAGGCGGCAAACAATTATTTTGTTATGATATTGTTACCTTGTATCCAAATGAATAGAAGTTTCAGATGTTTTGGTTAAAAACATGATGATATTTACATTGTGCACTCAAAAGATGTTAAAGAACACCATCATGGGATGGATTAACTAAAGTCATGTCAGAGCAAAGAATGTCCCTTAACTGCTTTTGATTAATACATGTATATATGCTATAGAAACATACGGATGGAAAATATTGTAAGTGGAATAACTTAATTTCATCATATTTAGTATAACTTCTTTGAGAGGCATTTGGATATATTTAGTATACCCTAACTGAGAGTGTTTATGTAACTTCGATATTGTTCTGTCTTTAAAGAGCTGCTCACATTTGACATTTCTGCAGAGTAAATCCCAACTCAAGTCAAACGGGAAAGGTCTTTGGACTTGACACCACCTGCAAAATCACTTGAAGAAAAGGCCAGGCAGTTTCTTTCATTAGGGAAGGATGCAGACATTGATGAGGATTTACAGGAAGACATTCTGTGCCTTATGTACCGCAGTCAGTCAGTCGCTTGTCTTGTAAAACATATTTTCAGGTTTGATAAACTGAGGAAAACAATTTGGAATTTGTTTGTTGCTGAAATAACAGAAAGCTCAAGGGCAGTTTGTGAGAGAAGCTGTGTCCTGTACCACAAGGACTATGAGGCTCATGCTGCATTCAACTGGTCATCAATCTTAGAGGAATTAGTTCACTCTAATGAATTCTTGGGTGATGTGCTTTTGGCTTACACCATCAGGCCAAACCAGTTGTATTTCTTGTTTTACGGACCCGCCTGTCGTATATTTTCAGGAATAAGAAAAAAATAGAAAAAAAATGTCCCCACTCAAAAAATAAAATCCTAATGTATTTATGGGCCAAAAATGTAAACTTACAAGAACATTTTTTAGATTGTTATTTTGCCCCATATACACTTCAAAAATTGCCAAAAGTAAAATACTTTGAGTATTTAGAAGGAATATTACTTTGACTGGTGATTTTATTTTTATTTTTTCCCTCCTGCCTTTAGGTTTTCTGAGGACCAAAATCCGTAAAATAAGAAATAAAATTGGTCTGGCCTCACAAGGAAAAAAACTGCAAAGCTGCACATCGAGTCTTTGGTAAAAATCCTAGGATTTTGTATGAGTGTGTAATGAAAACAAGGTGGAAAGACCTGTCTCTTGTGCAGAGAGTTGTATCCATGGTGATGAAGGAGCAAAATGTCCATCAAATGTGTCTGTTAATATATATGTGTTGTTCACCTGTTCAAGTTAAAGTTTTGTTCTGTTGCAACCGTTATGGAATGACAGATCCAAGTTCAAAGTGATGAGTGAGTCTAGTTTTTATGCCACTAAGAGCAATATTCCAGCAATATCACATCGGGAGACACCAGAAATGGGCTCCACACATTGTACCCATGTGGGTAATCATACTCTGGTCTTCAGCGTGATACGAGAATGCTTTAACCACTAGACAACCCCCACTGCTCCTCCAAGTGATGTGTGAACCAGTCATAAATCTTAACTTTCAGTAATACAAATACAAATGCTTCATATATTTCTCTGATAATGCGTCTATGAACTCATCCATTCCTTACTGTTTGGGTTTCTTGGACATCTTGCTGTTTCTGTCATCTGTTTACAAGTGTTTATGTTCTGTATGTGATTTCAACCAGACAAATTACTTCATTGTTTTATGGAAACTTCCAACTGAATTCTCCTTTCTTTGTACAAAATACATCTGAAACTTTTAATCAATGAAGTATGTACTGTAGCACCTGTAAGTAGGATGTGTTCAAGGGGTATCAGCTGTAAGTGGGATGTGTTCAAGGGGTATCAGCTGTAAGTGGGATGTGTTCAAGGGGTATCAGCTGTAAGTGGGATGTGTTCAAGGGGTATCAGCTGTAAGTGGGATGTGTTCTAGGGGTATCAGCTGTAAGTGGGATGTGTTCAAGGGGTATCAGCTGTAAGTGGGATGTGTTCAAGGGGTATCAGCTGTAAGTGGGATGTGTTCAAGGGCTATAAGCTGTAAGTTCAAGTTCAGTCAGTTTATTGTATGAAGACCAGAGGCCCATATACAAAATAAATATGTATAATATGTACAACATATGCAACATACGACACACAAGTTACATTGAATCTCTTCTAAATATAAGCGTGTGATAAATAAATAGAGCTACCTTATATTGTAATAGAGATGCTTTACATGAAAGTATTGAATATTTGATTGTAGCCATTGTGGAAAATACAGTTGCCTTAAATCATTATATACAGGACAAAGAAATAAGGAGTGTAATTCATTCTCTACAGTATTACAAAATGGACAGAACCTTTGTGATTTTATAATAGATGAATATCTTCCTTGATTGATATATAAATCATATAGGCTGTAAGTAGGATGTGTTCAAGGTGTATCACCTGTAAGTAGGATGTGTTCAATGGGTATCAGCTCTAAGTAGGATATGTTCAAGGGGTGTCACCTGTATGTGGGATGTGTTCAAGGGGAATCACCTGTAAGTTGGATGTGTTCAAGGGGTATCACCTGTAAGTTGGATATGTTCAAGGGGAATCACCTGTAAGTTGGATGTGTTCAAGGGGAATCACCTGTAAGTGGGATGTGTTCAAGGGGTATCACCTGTAAGTGGGATGTGTTCAAGGGGAATCACCTGTAAGTGGGATGTGTTCAAGGGGTATCACCTGTAAGTAGGATGTGTTCAAGGGGAATCACCTGTATGTGGGATGTGTTCAAGGTGTATCAGCTGTAAGTAGGATGTGTTCAAGAGGTATCACCTGTAAGTTGGATGTGTTCAAGAGGTATCACCTGTAAGTTGGATGTGTTCAAGAGGTATCACCTGTAAGTTGGATGTGTTCAAGGGGTATCACCTGTAAGTTGGATGTGTTCAAGAGGTATCACCTGTAAGTTGGATGTGTTCAAGAGGTATCACCTGTAAGTTGGATGTGTTCAAGAGGTATCACCTGTAAGTTGGATGTGTTCAAGAGGTATCACCTGTAAGTTGGATGTGTTCAAGAGGTATCACCTGTAAGTTGGATGTGTTCAAGAGGTATCACCTGTAAGTTGGATGTGTTCAAGAGGTATCACCTGTAAGTTGGATGTGTTCAAGAGGTATCACCTGTGAGTTGGATGTGTTCAAGAGGTATCACCTGTAAGTTGGATGTGTTCAAGAGGTATCACCTGTAAGTGGGATGTGTTCCAGGGGTATCGCCTGTAAGTTGGATGTGTTCAAGAGGTATCACCTGTAAGTTGGATGTGTTCAAGAGGTATCACCTGTAAGTTGGATGTGTTCAAGAGGTATCACCTGTAAGTTGGATGTGTTCAAGGGGTATCACCTGTAAGTAGGATGTGTTCAAGGGGAATCACCTGTATGTGGGATGTGTTCAAGAGGTATCACCTGTAAGTGGGATGTGTTCAAGAGGTATCACCTGTAAGTGGGATGTGTTCAAGGGGTATCGCCTGTAAGTTGGATGTGTTCAAGAGGTATCACCTGTAAGTTGGATGTGTTCAAGAGGTATCACCTGTAAGTTGGAAGTGTTCAAGAGGTATCACCTGTAAGTTGGATGTGTTCAAGAGGTATCACCTGTAAGCTGGATGTGTTCAAGGGGTATCGCCTGTAAGTTGGATGTGTTCAAGAGGTATCACCTGTAAGTTGGATGTGTTCAAGAGGTATCACCTGTAAGTTGGATGTGTTCAAGAGGTATCACCTGTAAGTTGGATGTGTTCAAGAGGTATCACCTGTAAGTTGGATGTGTTCAAGAGGTATCACCTGTAAGTTGGATGTGTTCAAGAGGTATCACCTGTAAGTTGGATGTGTTCAAGAGGTATCACCTGTAAGTTGGATGTGTTCAAGGGGTATAAGCCTGTAAGTTGGATGTGTTCAAGAGGTATCACCTGTAAGTTGGATGTGTTCAAGAGGTATCACCTGTAAGTTGGATGTGTTCAAGAGGTATCACCTGTAAGTTGGATGTGTTCAAGAGGTATCACCTGTAAGTTGGATGTGTTCAAGAGGTATCACCTGTAAGCTGGATGTGTTCAAGTCTAAGCATGTTCCATAGATGATGTAACATTAAAAGAGCTGAACTTGCCATGATATTTACAATCAGGAAGTAGCAGTCATTGGTTTCTCTCTGTATCTTGTGATGGGTGTTGGCTGAGGTGTTGCAGGGGTGGAAATAACTTATAATATAGTGGCACATGTAAAATCACTTGCCCTGATAATTGTTCCACTAGACCGTCCGTTTTCTTGTTGATTTTTTAAATAAACAACATAATTAACATTGGAAAGTCACCTGGACACCGGTACAGTGTGATATACAAACTTGCTCGCCCGACAGAAAAAAACTCGGACATCGGGCAGTGGGTTATTTCCACCCCTGTGTTGGTTGATGTAGAATTGTATCATAATTTTCAGAACAGATAAGCCAACTAGAAACTAGAGTAACAATACACTTTATGTCCTCCCATGATTAATGAACTTGTCATTGCGAGTGTGTGTTACATTTTCATCATCCTGTGAAGATCTGGATTAGAATTGATCTTCAGCAATCCATTCTTTTTGTAAGAGGCCACTAATGGGATCAAGCGGTCAGGCTTGCTGAGTTGGTTGGCATAATTATTGCATAAATTGATGCTCATGCTGTTGATCACTGTATTGTCTGGTCTAGCCTTGATTATTTCCAGACTGCTGCCATATAGCTGGAATACTGCTGAGTGAGGCAACAAACCAACCAACAACATCCTCATCACTAATATTACAGCTGTTACCATGGAAACCAGTCATGAACTGACACAACTGAACTGGTACTACACCATCCAGACCGACAGACGATGTGAGCAACAATCTGTCAAGTCACAGTTGGGATTTGATCATCACTGAGCTCTTACTATGTCAGTCAATCTTACTCAGCAATAACTGTCACTGCCGGATCTCTAAGGTGACATGCATCACAATGACCTAGATCTTATTGAGAATGAACTGTCGGCATCCATGCACAGTTTACACGGATCAGATGAGCCGTGCTTCCTGGTAGATGGAGGCGTGGTTGTTAAAGGCCATACAGCCGACCACCATCTGGTCTCCTGGCCTTGCACCAGACACCATCAGTGTGTCCTGGAGAATCTGCACACGCTTTTCTCTCACTGCAGCAGCTGAAGTACTGTCTGAAATATTCCAACATGGCTGTCAGTAGACTGGCAGAACTGATAAATTCTTTTTTAGTTAGTTTTTGGTTGAGTTTCATTCCAAATCTTTCAAAACATTGTCTTCGCTGAAGAGCTTTAAGACCAAATCAGTTACTGGGTATCTTAAATTGAATATTTGACTGATATTTTAATTTCTTTGTTTGAAAACAATTTCTCGTTAACTTCCAAGTAATTTGTGTGATACCAGTAGATTTGTAAAGTGAACATATATTTCTGCCACAGAACACAGAACTGCCGCATCAGTAAAGGCCTCTTCTGTAACGATCAGCCTGGGTAGATGTGTGCTGTATAGGTACTTACTGTGCCATTGTTGGCCGTTAATGATCCAGTCAATCCGAGGCCTGGGATTTCCATAGGCCGAACACTGGAATATAGCTACTCCTCCAGACAGCTGTGTCAGCCTCTGATCCTCAAACTTGGATGTAAATCGTGCTCTTTCTGTGGAACAGTTTGAAAAATTCTTGTCAGCGATATAATAAGCCTGGACTTTTATTTTACTGGTTTATGTGGTATAGGTCCAGAAATAAAATTCAGCAGGTCACAAAATACAATTTTATGTATTTTTTTCAATTTACTAGTACTTCAAAATGGTATGAGAAATGGGTGTTGGAAGGACTAGTTATTTTCGTAATTTTAATCATGCAGAAAATCTTCCTGTCAGCAGGAACTGTTTTCCTCACCATTTAATTGATTCATCTGGGAGGTGTTGTTTTATTCCACTGTAAGTCTATGTTTGGTATGGGAGCTACAATCACTGTAGCACTAAAATTGCTTTGTACAACAGCACCCTTCTCTATAAAGTGGCATACTAGTTAAGGTATATTTCAGTTATCTGCTTTTGATCAGGGCACAGTAATGTAGTACCCTTCATAACCCATGAGCCAGCAGTATGTACAATTACAATCAATAAACTTGTGTAAGCCAGTGTGTAGATATACCTAAACACTCTGAAATGTGACTGTACAAACAATGTTTGAGGGGTAAGAAGAGCAAAGGACTGTAGCTTACCTTCAATGCTTACTTCAAAGTTTGTTTGTTTGAGGCCCAGTCTGTTGGATGCTGAGCAGTTGTATGTGCCAGCATCCTCTGACCTCACAGAAGCTATGTGAAACTCAGTGTGCCCTGTATTGTCCACGGTCGATCTGTTCCCCGCTCTCGTTGTCCAGGACTGACTGGGTACAGGTCTGTACAAGGTCAATGTTCAAGGACTTAGTGCATGTTGTACATTGGTTGAAGTAAAGATTGTGTGGTACAGATATTTAGTAAACATTCAAATGTGGAACAACTTCCTTGAAACAACAAGGGTTTCTAAGATGTAATATTTTCACAATACTTAGTGCTAATATTCACTGATGTGCTTGATAATCGAAAAGTGTTCATTCTCTCACAAAGTAAAAAGATATGGTGACACTGTTCATGAGGATGTAACTACATACTACAGAGACTACACACAATGGGCCCAATGAACATGATTACTGTACCTTCCACCATATATACAGAACATGGCCCGTGATTCTCACTGGAGTATATCACAAACAAAGGCCCCCTGAGACCGACATGATGACTGTACCTTCCACCATATATACAGAACATGGCCCGTGATTCTAACTGGAGTATATCACAAACAAAGGCCCCCTGAGACTGACATGATGACTGTACCTTCCACCATATATACAGAACATGGCCCGTGATTCCCACTGGAGTATATCACAAACAAAGGCCCCCTAAGACTGACATGGTGACTGTACCTTCCACCATATATACAGAACATGGCCCGTGATTCTCACTGGAGTATATCACAAACAAAGGCCCCCTAAGACTGACATGGTGACTGTACCTTCCACCATATATACAGAACATGGCTCGTGATTCTCACTGGAGTATATCTCAAACAAAGGCCCCCTAAGACTGACATGATGACTGTACCTTCCACCATATATACAGAACATGGCCCGTGATTCTCACTGGAGTATATCACAAACAAAGGCCCCCTAAGACTGACATGGTGACTGTACCTTCCACCATATATACAGAACATGGCTCGTGATTCTCACTGGAGTATATCAACAAGGCCCCCTAAGACTGACATGATGACTGTACCTTCAACCATATATACAGAACATGGCCCGTGATTCTCACTGGAGTATATCACAAAAGGCCCCTTAGACTGACATGATGACTCTACCTTCCACCATATATACAGAACATGGCCGTTGATTCTCACTGGAGTATATCACAAACAAAGGCCCCCTAAGACTGACATGATGACTGTACCTTCCACCATATATACAGAACATGGCCCGTGATTCTCACTGGAGTATATCACAAACAAAGGCCCCCTAAGACTGACATGGTGACTGTACCTTCCACCATATATACAGAACATGGCTCGTGATTCTCACTGGAGTATATCACAAACAAAGGCCCCCTAAGACTGACATGATGACTGTACCTTCAACCATATATACAGAACATGGCCCGTGATTCTCACTGGAGTATATCACAAAAAAAGGCCCCCTTAGACTGACATGATGACTCTACCTTCCACCATATATACAGAACATGGCCCGTGATTCTCACTGGAGTATATCACAAACAAAGGCCCCCTAAGACTGACATGATGACTGTACCTTCCACCATATATACAGTACATGGTCAGTGGTTGTCCCGCCACAGCGGTCACATGGTTTGCACTGGAGTATATCAGGTATGGGAGTTTCCCACGACTTCCTTCAACACCTGAAAAATGGCATCACAGATATGAACTAGACATGTTAACCTGAACAAATATCAGTATAGCATGACATACACCAACTTGGGAACCTATTCTGTACCTCTACCTCCACAACCTAAATAATGTTAAAGGTTATGGAACAGGCTGCAACTTCATAGTCATGAAGATGACATTGGGACGCAATGCCTGGACTTGTTCTGACTGTTATGTTTGTTGACGTACCTGGTCTAATTCTGACAGGTATTTTGGGTGACATACCTGGTCTAATTCTGACAGGTATTTTGGGTGACATACCTGGTCTAATTCTGACAGGTATTTTGGATGACATACCTGGTCTAATTCTGACAGGTAATTTCGGTGACATACCTGGTCTAATTCTGACAGGTATTTTGGATGACATACCTGGTCTAATTCTGACAGGTATTTGGGTGACATGCCTGGTCTAATTCTGACAGGTATTTTGGGTGACATACCTGGTCTAATTCTGACAGGTATTTTGGGTGACATACCTGGTCTTATTCTGACAGGTATTTTGGATGACATACCTGGTCTAATTCTGACAGGTATTTTGGATGACATACCTGGTCTAATTCTGACAGGTATTTTGGGTGACATACCTGGTCTAATTCTGACAGGTATTTTGGATCACATACCTGGTCTAATTCTGACAGGTAATTTCGGTGACATACCTGGTCTATTTCTGACAGGTATTTTGGGTGACATACCTGGTCTAATTCTGACAGGTATTTGGGTGACATACCTGGTCTATTTCTGACAGGTATTTTGGGTGACATACCTGGTCTAATTCTGACAGGTATTTTGGTTGACATACCTGGTCTTATTCTGACAGGTATTTTGGATGACATACCTGGTCTAATTCTGACAGGTATTTTGGATGACATACCTGGTCTAATTCTGACAGGTATTTTGGGTGACATACCTGGTCTAATTCTGACAGGTATTTTGGATGACATACCTGGTCTAATTCTGACTGGTAATTTCGGTGACATACCTGGTCTAATTCTGACAGGTATTTTGGGTGACATACCTGGTCTAATTCTGGCAGGTATTTTGGGTGACATACCTGGTCTAATTCTGACAGGTATTTTGGGTGACATACCTGGTCTATTTCTGACAGGTATTTTGGGTGACATACCTGGTCTAATTCTGACAGGTATTGTGGGTGACATGCCTGGACTTGTTCTGACTGGTATGTTTGTTGACATACCTGGTCTAATTCTGACAGGTATTTTGGGTGACATGCCTAATCTAATTCTGACAGGTATTTTGGGTGACATACCTGGTCTAATTCTGACAGGTATTTTGGGTGACATACCTGGTCTACTTCTGACAGGTATTTTGGGTGACATACCTGGTCTTATTCTGACAGGTATTTTGGGTGACATACCTGGTCTAATTCTGACAGGTATTTTGGGTGACATACCTGGTCTATTTCTGACAGGTATTTTGGGTGACATACCTGGTCTAATTCTGACAGGTATTTTGGGTGACATACCTGGTCTAATTCTGACAGGTATTGTGGGTGACATGCCTGGACTTGTTCTGACTGGTATGTTTGTTGACATACCTGGTCTAATTCTGACAGGTATTTTGGGTGACATGCCTGGTCTAATTCTGACAGGTATTTTGGGTGACATACCTGGTCTAATTCTGACAGGTATTTTGGGTGACATACCTGGTCTTATTCTGACAGGTATTTTGGGTGACATACCTGGTCTAATTCTGACAGGTATTTTGGATGACATACCTGGTCTAATTCTGACTCTGATGTCGGTGCTGGTATCTGACACACCCGGGTCTATGGAGGCACGACAGCGGAAAACTCGAGGAAAGTCTCCCTCCCGAACACTCCGGAATATCAGAGACCCTAAAAGCAAAAGATGGGGCTTATCACCCTTAGATCTTAGATATGGAATGACATACAGAGCAACCCATGCAGTAGTACAACCCTTAAAATATATTGTCTATGATTGAAACAAGGAGAGGTGTTCAGCTCCAAATGATGCATGATGTAGGTATAGTATTAAATTGCTTCTAGCAATTAGAGCGATTGAAAATTTACCCTTTTGTGGAATTGAACCCAGAATCTTGATGTGAGGCACACAAACACTTTACCCACAAGGAAACCTACTGCCCTACGACTGACTGACTGACTGAGTTTGGTTTGTCGCCGCTTTTAGCAATATTCCAGCAACATCACGGCGGGGGACACCAGAAATGGGCTTCACACATTGTACCCACGTGGGGATTTGAACCTGGGTCTTCGGCGTGACGAGCCAACGCTTTAACCACTAGGCTACCTCACCGCCCCACTGCCCTACGAAGGTTCACATGAGATATGTGTTTATTCAAATAAAACTTACCACGTGAATCCTGCACAATGCGTTTGGTTAGCACGAAAGGCTTAAATGAATACTTGTCCTTATATTCCCAGTCAATCTGAATATATTCGGACGAGTAAGGGGGCACCAGACATTCAAGGGACAGTTGTTCCCCAACAACTGCGGTCACCTCATCTCTAGGAATATTAGAGAAATCTCCGAGACGACGAACCATGAGATGAAATGTGGAGCTGACGCTGGTGCCAAACACATTCCTTGCAAAGCAGCGGTAAGCACCACTATCTCCTGCTGTTGGTCCTGACATGACGAGGGCTCCATTGTTGAGTGACATGTTCTCACCCAAAACAAGCGGTCTGCCATTTTTCTCCCAAATGTAACTGAAATTGTTAGTAAAAAGTTCTAGCTTTAAAGTATCATGAGATTTATTAGCAACAATATGAATAAGATTCCCCACCTATAAGTTTGTATTAAAACCAGGGATGAGATCATGATCTGGCATGATCCTACGGCCCCCAACACCCTGGCTCATTTTCCTCTTTTTTTACTCATACGCATTCTAATCCATGTTAATTGTATTATCAAACACAGCGGCCACCAGTGTTCCAGCTATATACCTGTAAAAATAGTCGAGTGTAGACTAGACAAGCTTCAATATCATGAGCAATGATCTATACCGTCTGGTGCAATCACTCTATATAAAGCACATTACCGAGACTGACCATCCATTGTTAGGGACCGACGCTAGCCCGGAATCACTATGGAGTGTATATTTAGTGGACGCTGTTGACAGACAATAGCTGATACGACATTGTTCCTTCAATGTTTTAGATATGGCATGACAGCCAGATGTCATAATCCAACAGAATCATGTGGCATCAGGTACAATCCAACAATCAAGTAATGTGTACAGTTCTGCCCCTAAAACATCACATGTTCGGATACCGCCAGTAGTCAGATGGTATGACATATACTCTCCAAAAAAAGAAACGCATATAGGAATTTCAACTGTATTTTTATGTTTATTTTGAAACATCTTGTAGACTTTATGAGTCAATGAAATAAAGTGAAATTGCACACTGGGAATGCAGACTTATCCGTCTCTGGCACCAACTCGAGGAAAGTCAGTTTGAGTGTCACATGGAGACGTGTGGTGGCGCTGAAGTCAATACCTCGTGTGACCACCGTGGGCATCCAGAACTGCACGGCATCGCCTCGGCATCAAACGAATAAGTCTCAGAATCTCGTGTTGCCCAATCGCAGCCCACTCTGCCTGTAGTGCCTGTGCGAGTTGCTGAAGTGCCTGGGGCTGAGGGTTACGGCGTCACACCCGTCTGTCCAGGGCATCCCACAGATGTTCGATCGGGTTTAAGTCCGGTTATCTTCAGGGCCAGGGGAGCACATTGATGTTGTGGTTCTGGAGAAAGTCTCTAGTGTGACGTGCTGTGTGGGGCCTGGCATTGTCCTGTTGACACAACTCCCTCTGGCGATCAATGATTGGAAGGAGGTGTGGGCGTAGTTTTTTAGTCGCAGTACCGTTGAGCTGTCAGGTTGCCCTGGATCATCGTTGGTGCACCATTGAACTCGATGTCAACGATGTTGTTGTCGAAGCACAGGGCCAAAATAAGGTCTTCTGGCACGTAAACCAGCCTATCTCAACCTGTTCCTGACGGTCTGTGCAGAAAGCCTCCTCAATCCGGGTATTTGTCGAGCGGTACTGGTCGCCGTAGCTGTTCGATGACGCAGGTGATGTACCCGGATGTAGCGATCCTGCGCCGTAGTGGTCGCTCGACGTCGCCCACTACGAGGGGCATCTGCTACCGCATTCTGCCGGCGATATCTCTCATGCGTCGGGTAACTGCACGTTGAGACTGGCCAGCTTCAAGCAAACCAATGGCGATATGACGGTTGGCTTCGCTTAGACGTGGCATTTTGCGTTCGTCAACAATATTCCAAATACAGTGAATAATCGACAGACAGAGATCAACCTTTTATACCCATCATTGAGACTATCTGATCCCCAACTTTCACGTGCATTACATGTGAATTGTGTATTCTGTGACACTACACGCCGAAATTGAAAATCATGCTGTTAAATACGGGTATTTTACGGATGGTGCGTTTTGTTGTGATGTTTCAAAACATAAACATCATAGGACTCATAAACAGAGCAAAACCTTTTGCAAAATGAATCACGTTTTAATTCATTGCTACATGAAATTGCTATTTTCATGATGCGTTTCATTTTTTGGATAGTATATTTGCTCTTTCCTGGCTCTGCAGCCATTGTGAAAATTCAGTATGCGCTTAGAGCATGAACCTGAGTGATGTTGATGAAGTGCAATAAAAGTACTCTTATTATTATTATTATTATTTGCCCTTCACTAGCTCTGTAACATCATAAAAATGTGGCATGACATGTTTGCCCTCTACTGGCTCTGCAGCCAGTATAAACAATACAATATGACATACTTGAGATATATTGCCCCTGCAGCCAGTATATACAATACAACATGACTGCCTCTGCAGACAGGATAACAATACAATATGACATATTTGAGATATACTGCTTCTGCAGCCCATAGTAATTGACATATACTCGACACAGATACTCCATATTTGTTTGTCTGACCTTGGTTGTGGGTAGCCATCAGCCTCACAGTCTAGCTGCAGGACCCTATGCTTGAATTCAAAAAAGTATATTTGTTGATGAATATCCGAGCTGGTGGCCATTATCTTGGGAGGTCGTGGAACTACAATAAGAAATTTCAATGTGGACATATCCTACTAGCCATCCAAATGTTGAACAATGTCACCTATGTCGCTGAGCAGTGAGTGTGCATAGAGATAAAAAAAATGAGGATTAATCTTTCCAAACCTACCATCTATGTTTTTGCTAAACACATCCAGCCTGTGACATGTTAACGGGCTACAACCATTATCTAAGAGGTTTTCCTATATTGTCAACAGCAGTATCCACAAATCGATACCAAATACAATATCTGATGTTTAGCAAGCAAATGATATATATGCCCTGAAACATCATCCAGTTTTCGGGCTTCAAATACAGTTAAAAACCATACCTCGACCAATCTGCCTTATGACCTGATGGCATTGTACAGTGTGTCATTATATCATGCTCACCTATACTGGGTGAGGTGGTGGTGGTGGTGGTGGTGGTGGTGGTGGTAGTGGTGGTTGTAGCCACATCAGCAATGACCATCACCCTGACGTGTGTAAAGCCTCTCATCCCCCGTGCATCCTGACAAAAGTACATCCATGTTTCAGTCTCTGACTTAGTAATTTCTTGACATCCAAAACAAAGTACTCATCTGGTGTTTTGTGATCATTAAAAAGTTTTGATTATGACTTCCAAGTCACAAACGTCATTGAGTATGTTTGGTACTCAACTGTGACGTTGCAACGTTTCTCTGGTGTACTTTCTTGTTTACTTACATCATGTCTGGCGTGATTCCACATGTACTACATCATTCCTTTGTGATGTGTGATTGATCTTATGAAACACTGAGTAAATAACATGGTTTGTTTGTTTGGTACATACATAGAGAATACTACACGAGGTCTCATTACATACGAATATACGAAACGAGTGTCCTTCCTATGGTATCTGACCGAGCGAAAGCGAGGTCAGATAACATAGGAAGGTCACGAGTTTCGTATAATTTGTATGTAATGAGACCGAGTGAGGTATTTTATTTATTACCCACGTCTTACATGCATTTAAATTGACAAAATAGCGTATTTTTGTTATGTTTTTGGTTTCAAACCGAAACCGGTTTCATAAAGAGGTTGCGGAAGAGTTTTGTACTGTAGTACAATATTTGCATGACGTCACACTAATGACGTCACTGCCATGGTAACCGACGTCACGATGCATGTCAGTTGTCATCGCCTCGTACAACCTCCTACAGTAAACTACTCCGTTGCACCTCGTTTCTTGGTTTCCAGTTGCTTCATTCGGCTAACATCACTGGTGGAAAAATTGCATTTAAGGCAATATAGGTGATGTCCTGCACTACACACACGCTAGGTCTTCACTCTGAAGCTACTGTTCAATGCTCACATACCCTTGCCCCTACTGTAAATTCCAGTGTTTTACTTCTGGTCACTGGCGAGAATGGCTGGATCAGAACAAGGCGCCCAGAGGCAGGAGGGACGATGGCAAAGTGATTCTGGATTAAGATGTGGCTGCTCTGAAGGAGAAAGTGAAGTATCTTGAAGGTCAAAATAAAACTATACCAGGATATAACCATATACCATCAGCTATACCAGACCATATTCATAAACCTTGAGCTATACGGTACAACAATATACCATCAGCTATACAATGGTATAACCATATACCTTGGGGTATATCAACTGATAACTGTACACATTGAGCTATACCAGGGTATAATCATACACCTTCAACTATGCCAGGGTATAACCATATACCTTGAGCTATACCAGTGTATAACCATATACCTTGAGCTATACCAGTGTATAACCATATACCTTGAGCTATACCAGTGTATTACATATACCTTGAGCTATACCAGTGTATAACCATATACCTTGAGCTATACCAGGGTATAACCATACACATAGAGCTATACTGGGTATAACCATATACCTTCAACTATGCCAGGGTATAACCATCTACCTTGAGCTATACCAGTGTATCACGGCATACCTTGAGCTATACCAGAATACCTTGAGCTATACCAGAGTATAACCATATACCTTGAGCTATGCCAGGGTATCACGGAATACCTTGAGCTATACCAGGGTATAACCATATACATGTACCTTGAGCTATACCAGGTTATCACGGAATACCTTGAGCTATACCAGGGTATAACCATATACCTTCACCTTTGCCAGGGTATAACCATATGCCTTTAGCTTACCAGGGCATAACTATATACCTTGAGCTATACCAGGGTATAACCATACACATGGAGCTATACTGGGGTATAACCATATACCTTCAACTATGCCAGGGTATAACCATCTAACTTGAGCTATACCAGTGTATCACGGCATACCTTGAGCTATACCAGAGTATAACCATATACCTTGAGCTATGCCAGGGTATCACGGAATACCTTGAACTATACCAGAGTATAACCATATACCTTGAGCTATGCCAGGGTATAACCATCTTCCTTGAGCTATACCAGGGTATCACGGAATACCTTGAGCTATACCAGGGTATAACCATATACATGTACCTTGAGCTATACCAGGTTATCACGGAATACCTTGAGCTATACCAGGGTATAACCATATACCTTCACCTTTGCCAGGGTATAACTATATACCTTGAGCTATACCAGGGTATCACGGAATACCTTGAGCTATACCAGAGTATAACCATATACCTTGAGCTATGCCAGGGTTATAACCATACACCTAGAGCTATACCAGGGTATAGCCATATACTTTCAACTATGCCAGGGTATAACCATATACCTTGAGCTATACCAGGTTTTCACGGAATACATTGAGCTATACAAGGGCATAACCATATACCTTGAGCTATACCAGAGTATAACCATACACCTAGAGCTAATCTAGGGTATAACCATATACCTTGAGCTATACCAGGGTGTAACCATATACATTGAGCCATTTGAGGATATAATCATTTATCTTGAGTTATACATTATAACTATACACCTTGAGCTGTGTGTAACCATATATACCTTGAGCTTGATGGTCAAACCATACATCATGAGCTATACATTATAACTATACACCTTGAGCTGTGTGTAACCATATATACCTTGAGCTTGATGGTCAAACCATACATCATGAGCTATACATTATAACTATGCACCTTGAGCTATGCCAGTGTGTAACCATATACCTTGAGCTTGATGGTCAAACCATACATCATGAGCTATACATTATAACTATACACCTTGAGCTATGCCAGTGTGTAACCATATACCTTGAGCTAGATGGTGAAACCATACATCATGAGCTATACATTATAACTATACACCTTGAGCTATGCCAGTGTAACCATATACCTTGAGCTTGATGGTAAACCATACATCATAGCTATACATATAACTATACACCTTGAGCTATGCCAGTGTATAACCATATACCTTGAGCTATGGGTAAAACATTATACATTATAACTATACACCTTGAGCTATGCCAGTGTAACCATATACCTTGAGCTAGATGGTAAAACCATACATCATGAGCTATACATTATAACTATACACCTTGAGCTATGCCAGTGTGTAACCATATACCTTGAGCTAGATGGTAAAACCATACATCATGAGCTATACATTATAACTATACACCTTGAGCTATGCCAGTGTGTAACCATATACCTTGAGCTTGATGGTAAAACCATACACATCATATAGGCTATACATTATAACTATACACCTTGAGCTATGCCAGTGTGTAACCATATACCTTGAACCATATACTTGATGGTGGTAAACCATACATCATGAGCTATACATTATAACTATACACCTTGAGCTATGCCAGTGTGTAACCATATACCTTGAGCTAGATGGTAAAACCATACATCATGAGCTATACATTATAACTATACACCTTGAGCTATGCCAGTGTGTAACCATATACCTTGAGCTTGATGGTAAAACCATACATCATGAGCTATACATTATAACTATACACCTTGAGCTATGCCAGTGTGTAACCATATACCTTGAGCTAGATGGTAAAACCATACATCATGAGCTATACATTATAACTATACACCTTGAGCTATGCCAGTGTGTAACCATATACCTTGAGCTAGATGGTAAAACCATACATCATGAGCTATACATTATAACTATACACCTTGAGCTATGCCAGTGTGTAACCATATACCTTGAGCTTGATGGTAAAACCATACATCATGAGCTATACATTATAACTATACACCTTGAGCTATGCCAGTGTGTAACCATATACCTTGAGCTTGATGGTAAAACCATACATCATGAGCTATACATTATAACTATACACCTTGAGCTATGCCAGTGTGTAACCATATACCTTGAGCTAGATGGTAAAACCATACATCATGAGCTATACATTATAACTATACACCTTGAGCTATGCCAGTGTGTAACCATATACCTTGAGCTTGATGGTAAAACTATACATCATGAGCTATACATTATAACTATACACCTTGAGCTATGCCAGTGTGTAACCATATACCTTGAACTAGATGGTAAAACCATACATCATGAGCTATACATTATAACTATACACCTTGAGCTATGCCAGTGTGTAACCATATACCTTGAGCTAGATGGTGAAACCATACATCATGAGCTATACATTATAACTATACACCTTGAGCTATGCCAGTGTGTAACCATATACCTTGAGCTTGATGGTATAAACATATAACTTTAGTTGTACGGTAAAACCATACATCTTGGGCTATACCAGGTTATAACCATAGTCATTGAACTATGGCAATGTATAGCCATAAACCTTTAGCTATACCTTAAAATACCCATAATCCTTGAACTATACAAGGATATAATCATATACCTTCAGCTCTACCAAGGTTTAACCATATATGAAAACATGCATAACATTTCTGAGTCACTCACTACAAATTGTCATCCCAGGTTCTCTAATTCATTATTAACTGACACTGCTTACCTGGATGTAGTACCTGTCGATAACACCTGCTGTCCCCAAGTCCATGTCAGTGGCCTGTAGCTGCTTACCTGGATGTAGTACCTGTCGATAACACCTGCTGTCCCCAAGTCCATGTCAGTGGCCTGTAGCTGCTTACCTGGATGTAGTACCTGTCGATAACACCTGCTGTCCCCGAGTCCATGTCAGTGGCCTGTAGCTGCTTACCTGGATGTAGTACCTGTCGATAACACCTGCTGTCCCCGAGTCCATGTCAGTGGCCTGTAGCTGCTTACCTGGATGTAGTACCTGTCGATAACACCTGCTGTCCCCGAGTCCATGTCAGTGGCCTGTAGCTGCTTACCTGGATGTAGTACCTGTCGATAACACCTGCTGTCCCCGAGTCCATGTCAGTGGCCTGTAGCTGCTTACCTGGATGTAGTACCTGTCGATAACACCTGCTGTCCCCAAGTCCATGTCAGTGGCCTGTAGCTGCTTACCTGGATGTAGTACCTGTCGATAACACCTGCTGTCCCCAAGTCCATGTCAGTGGCCTGTAGCTGCTTACCTGGATGTAGTACCTGTCGATAACACCTGCTGTCCCCGAGTCCATGTCAGTGGCCTGTAGCTGCTTACCTGGATGTAGTACCTGTCGATAACACCTGCTGTCCCGAGTCCATGTCAGTGGCCTGTAGCTGCTTACCTGGATGTAGTACCTGTCGATAACACCTGCTGTCCCCGAGTCCATGTCAGTGGCCTGTAGCTGCTTACCTGGATGTAGTACCTGTCGATAACACCTGCTGTCCCCGAGTCCATGTCAGTGGCCTGTAGCTGCTTACCTGGATGTAGTACCTGTCGATAACACCTGCTGTCCCCGAGTCCATGTCAGTGGCCTGTAGCTGCAGGATGACCGTTCCCATGGGAGTAGACTAAACACAAGGTCAGTAGTCGATAAAAATAACACAATGTCATAATCTAACATCAATGGAGAATAATGTTAATTTATGGAGGTAGTCAAAAGACAATGTAACTGTAACATTAGACAATAGACACAGTCAGTGTGATGTTAGACAATACACACACGGTGTGACGTTAGACAATGCACACAGTCAGTGTGACGTTAATACACACTGAGGTTAGACAATACACACAGTCAGTATGAAGTTAGACAATACACACAGTCCATGTGACGTTAAACAGTACACACTGAGGTTAGACAATACACACAGTCAGTATGAGGTTAGACAATACACACAGTCCATGTGACGTTAGACAATACACACTGAGGTTAGACAATACACACAGTCAGTATGAGGTTAGACAATGCACACAGTCCATGTGACGTTTGACAATATGTATAGAGTGACGTTAGACAATACACACAGTCAGTGTGACGTTAGACAATGCACAGTCAGTGTGACGTTAGACAATGCACACAGTCAGTATGACGTTAGACAATGCACACAGTCCATGTGACGTTAGACAATATGTATAGAGTGATGTTAGGCAATACACACAGTCAGTGTGACGTTAGACAATGCACAGTCAGTGTGACGTTAGACAATGCACACAGTCAGTATGACGTTAGACAATGCACACAGTCCATGTGACGTTAGACAATATGTATAGAGTGATGTTAGGCAATACACACAGTCAGTGTGACGTTAGACAATGCACAGTCAGTGTGACGTTAGACAATGCACACAGTCAGTATGACGTTAGACAATGCACACAGTCCATGTGACGTTAGACAATATATATAGAGTGATGTTAGACAATACACAGTCAGTGTGATGTTAGACAATACACACAGTCAGTGTGACGTTAGACAATGCACACAGTCAGTGTGACGTTAGACAATGCACACAGTCAGTTTGAGGTAAACTGAGTTCAAAACAGACACCGTTATACTCGTGAGATAGAGCTAACTCATTGTCCTGGGAGTGAAGTGGTATACACTGAGTACTCACACTGTTGACAGATGCTCTGTAGAAGACTGACTGGAATACAGGGGGCTCATTGACGTCCATCACAATTAAGGAGACAGTTGCATTCTTCTGGAAACCATTACAAACGTATGTATAGCTACACTCTTGCAGATGGTGTGGCACATATGGTGTTATAACGATAAAACAATATCCTTTGGGTCTCTCTCTTGCCTGGTTAAGCTCATTTCACCCCCAGCCTACTAATCACAATAGACAACCTTCTAAAATGACAAGGAAGTTGCGTTATTTTACGCTGCAGTCATCCTATCCTTGGCCAGACAAACCAGCAACGCCCCACGTCAACAGGTAACATCACACATTCTGTCAAAGTCATCATCACACAAATAGGGAAGTTTTCCGAAAGTTGGTTTTGTGATCAAGTTATGTGGGAACACTTTAAAGGATTGCCCGAATCCAATGATCCAAGTAAATCCACTGAAACCGACCCACCTGGTTCTTGCCATCAGAAACCAATATGGACATTGTATACTCTGATCTCTGAAATACAAAAACATTAAAAATATGGTTATAATACGCTTGAGTTAGTAGCAAGAAGGAATTCCATTACGCTGTCCTTTATTGACATCTCTCTGGTACAAGGTTCTGAAACATCATATAAGGTCTACCTCATCCATCTATCTGAAAGACTGAACCACTGATAGCATTACTGTTTGGACTCCTGGTATTTGAGGAAATGTATCCGTGTTGCAACAAACTCAGATTAAGGAGACAATGATCACACTAGTCAGTTATGCAACAATGTTGTGTATGCAGGCGCCCAACTGACATGCACCGAGTACACAACAGTTATTGTATCAACATACTTCTCTATAACTTAGAAATAGACGCCAATTAAATGGACATATATGATCAAATGCTGAACACTCTGGAAGGGGCTAGCCTATCTGTAAACACACCGTTTCCTTGTCAAGGAGCTGCGTGGTCGCGAGGTTGATCCTGAAGACTCCGGGCTCTGTCTCCCGAGCTCCACCCATCACGGCAAGCGGTCCATTACTAACTGTCAGCACTGGGGGCTGGGGACCGTCTGAATCCTCCACTGTCACGGTGCCAACAATAGTGCCTGTGGCATAGTGTGAGATTAAGTGTTCCAGTATCAGGACTCACATACATTATATCAGGAAATAAATGTCACATGTATGTTTTGACGTGATTTCTGCCAAGAATATTAAAGAAACAGGACAAGTGTATACAATAAAGATAGATAAGAGCTGGTGATGGTGGTTATCTGATGAGGTCCACGTCTGAACTGTTCTTTATTAAAGAAGGAGAAGAAGAAGAAACATATTTATCTATGTGTCTAGCAATACAATCGCCCGGCCGTCTTGGGCCTATTAAACACCAATGGCAAATGGTACAATATGTTAAAAGCACTATAAGTGCGAAGATAAGACATTTAAACTATATTGTTAAACATTTACATTTAAATATTGCATCTAGATCTCTACCAGCAACATCAGAGTACAATTCAAGTAATAATTATACAAAATGTATGTAGAATTATGATACTTTTCATGGATATACAACTTCTTTATTCTGTGAAAGGCGACGTTTCCACATAGAATCTAATGTTGTTGTCAAGCTTGACGACATTAGAATCTATGTGGAAACGTCGCCTTGTACACGCAATAAAGAAGTTGTATATCCCATAACAAAGTATCATCATTCTTCACCACTCCAACTTCTAAAACGCCCATCTTGGAAACTTGTATGTATTGAAGAACACTATTGCTGTGTTATTCACATGTTTTCACAGCAGTCGGATAGGATGCAGAACACATCTGACAATTTGTACAAACATTCATAAAATATTCCTTCAAGGTTTGAACAATTATCTTACACAACTTAGATAGATTTGTAACGTTCCTAATCTTCTTCAATGAAGAAGTAAGTTCATTTTCTCTAGTTAAGGGTTAATGTAATAGTATTCATGATGGACCTGTTTATATCTGTTTTCAACTGAAGGGCTTTTACACAGATAATGAAACAATTGGTCTTGATGGTCTTAACAACATACGTGCATTAGTACTCACCCATGGGAGAGTATTCAAGGACCGCAAATCTTAAAGGTTGTCGAAAGACGGGTGCCTGGTTCACTGGAAACAATTAAAGTACACATTGTTAAAGTTAATACACAAGACGCTTACAACACCTGTACAGTGGAACAAACACGGACTGATTACGTGTGCTACTGTTGTAATGTGTACAGGTCAAGAACATCATGTTTAATTGGTGTTTAACCCCGGGTCACTTTTCCAACGATATCGCGATGACCCGTAAATAATGGAGTTTGGACCAGACAACCCAGTGCTTGATAGTGTTGTCAGCATCCTGTGCCGTCACTGACACACCACTGAGCCCGACCTATGAAAGCCGTTTTCATATTTATGAAGAAATAATGAATTAAGGATACGATGAAGCATGTTTTATGATATCTTGAAAAGAATTGCTGATATCTTAAATTGGATTAATGATATGAGAATAGGATTTAAAGATATGTACAAATTCATGTTTTTAATGATATCTGCCATTTAGTTCCTGATGTCTTGCAATTTAATACAGATATCTTGAAATAAATTGGAGATATCTTGAAATGTATAAAATATATCTGAAATAGAGATCATGTATTGAGAACCCTTGTGTACGATCAGAAGAATGGTGTGTTTGCCTTCCCGTTGTTTCTAATCTGAAGATAAGGATGCATTATTTGTCAGTATTAATCAATCTAAGATAAGGATGCATTATTTGTCAATATTAAACAATCTGAAGAATAGGGATGCATTATTTGTTCGATGACCAAAAGAGGAGGAAAGAGACGCTCACCTGATGGTCTCCGCGCCAGGGACCCCGAAGAGACTGTCATCAAAAGAAAAATAACATTCATCAGGGGCGGATACAGCTTTTTGAGATTGGGGAGTGCAGACTCTTGAGAAAAGGAGGGGTGCACACTTCATTCTCACCCGTTTTCATGGGTCATTTAATAAACTTTCAGGACAAAGGGGGCGCACCCCAGCCCACCCCACCCCACCCTCCTCTCAGGACCCGCCTATGTTCATTAGATACCAATTCGAAGTTTGTCTATCGCGCCTACTGGGATAAATATGTAGCTCTATCTACCAGAAACGATCAGTTTGGACCGTTATCAGGATGGAGCGGTTACATGTAATGAAATACTAGAACACAGTTCCCTTCAGACAGTGAAAAGGGTTGGTAAACAGACAACCAACACACCATTGGTAGCGCCTTCCACATTATAACAGTAACAAAGATTAGTGATGAGGATGGTGTTGGTTGCTTTGTTGTTTTACGCCGCACTCAGCAATATTCCAGCTTTATGGCGGCAGTCTGTAAATAATCGAGTCTAGACCTGACAATCCAGTGATCAACATCATGAGCATCGAAATACGATATGATGACATGTCAACAATATCAGCGAGCCTGACCATTCGATCCCGTCAGTCGCCTCTGACGACTAGTTTGAGTTGCTGAAGACCAGTTCTAACCCGGATCTGCACTGGTCCAGTAACAAAACAATCAAGGTATCGACATGCCAATACCATATTCATGTGCGTAATCTGTTGGCATTTTGCCTGTTGACACAGAGCGCTTCATTAAAAGTCTTGGAGGCGTGCAACAGAGGAAGTACAACTTGTGTTTGTATGACGGAACAAGACTGTGGATATCCCACCTACCTATTCTGAACCACTGACACATGATCTGGAAGAATCCATGTTGACGGGGCGTCTAGAAAACAAAACACATCCACCAGTTTGTGTTAATATACGAAACAAGGTGGACTGATCACCCCATGGGAGACCACAGCTGAATTTGGAATACAAACAAGGATCTCGCACTGTACATAGTGAGTTCTCGGAATGGTTTATGGGATACTTATCATTTTATTATGAGTGAGTGAGTGAGTTTAGTTTTACGCCGCACTCAGCAATAATCCAGCTACATGTATATTGCGGCGGTCTGTAAATAATCGAGTCTGGACCAGACAACCCAGTGATCAATAGCATGAGCATCGATCTGCGCTATTAGGAACCGATGACATGTGTCAAGCAAGTCAACGAGCCTGACCACCCGATCCCGTTAGTCGCCTCTTACGACAACATTTTATTATGAAGCATACTTATTACTGTATATAATATCGTCTTCACGTCTTTAAAGCATGGCCGATATGATAATGTCATCCCTAACAAAGTGAGTTGTATATGTATAGATCGGTGGTGAGTATACATGCTATTTAGTATGTGTTTCAGTGTGTCTTGTTAAAAGAGAGCAGCTGTAATAAAAGATATCGCACCCGCGACGTATGTTTGTTGACTTTATAGAAGACCAGCCATAAACTGCTTCATGCTATTAACCAATTTTATTTCAAATACTGCACCTTACTGCTTTAACAACTTTATAATATGGTTCCAGGGATAGTTGTCATGCTGTGATCTATCTAAATTCTCATTACACTTGAGTGCCAGTATCCGTTCCGTGACCGTAGCCCAAAGTTTGTTAGTTTGATTGTTGTTTAACGCCACTCTCAGCAATGTTTGTTGTTTAACGCCGCACACAGCAATGTTCCAGCTATATGGTGGCGTGGCCAAAAGTTTGTTAGTTTGATTGTTGTTTAACGCCGCACACAGCAATGTTTGTTGTTTAACGCCGCACACAGCAATGTTCCAGCTATATGGTAGCGTGGCCCAAAGTTTGTTAGTTTGATTGTTGTTTAACGCCGCAAACAGCAATGTTCCAGCTATATGGCGGCGTGGCCCAAAGTTTGTTAGTTTGATTGTTGTTTAACGCCGCACACAGCAATGTTCCAGCTATATGGCGGCGTGGCCCAAAGTTAGTTAGTTTGATTGTTGTTTAACGCCGCACACAGCAATGTTCCAGCTATATGGCGGCGTGGCCCAAAGTTTGTTAGTTTGATTGTTGTTTAACGCCACTCTCAGCAATGTTCCAGCTATATGGCGGCGTGGCCCAAAGTTAGTTAGTTTGATTGTTGTTTAACGCCGCACACAGCAATGTTCCAGCTATATGGCGGCGTGGCCCAAAGTTAGTTAGTTTGATTGTTGTTTAACGCCGCACACAGCAATGTTCCAGCTATATGGTGGCGTGGCCAAAAGTTTGTTAGTTTGATTGTTGTTTAACGCCACTCTCAGCAATGTTCCAGCTATATGGCGGCGTGGCCCAAAGTTAGTTAGTTTGATTGTTGTTTAACGCCGCACACAGCAATGTTCCAGCTATATGGCGGCGTGGCCAAAAGTTTGTTAGTTTGATTGTTGTTTAACGCCACTCTCAGCAATGTTCCAGCTATATGGCGGCGTGGCCCAAAGTTAGTTAGTTTGATTGTTGTTTAACGCCGCACACAGCAATGTTCCAGCTATATGGCGGCGTGGCCAAAAGTTAGTTAGTTTGATTGTTGTTTAACGCCGCACACAGCAATGTTCCAGCTATATGGCGGCGTGGCCAAAAGTTTGTTAGTTTGATTGTTGTTTAACGCCGCACACAGCAATGTTCCAGCTATATGGCGGCGTGGCCCAAAGTTAGTTAGTTTGATTGTTGTTTAACGCCGCACACAGCAATGTTCCAGCTATATGGCGGCGTGGCCCAAAGTTTGTTAGTTTGATTGTTGTTTAACGCCGCACACAGCAATGTTCCAGCTATATGACGGCGTGGCCCAAAGTTAGTTAGTTTGATTGTTGTTTAACGCCGCACACAGCAATGTTCCAGCTATATGGCGGCGTGGCCAAAAGTTAGTTAGTTTGATTGTTGTTTAACGCCGCACACAGCAATGTTCCAGCTATATGGCGGCGTGGCCAAAAGTTAGTTAGTTTGATTGTTGTTTAACGCCACTCTCAGCAATGTTCCAGCTATATGGCGGCGTGGCCCAAAGTTAGTTAGTTTGATTGTTGTTTAACGCCGCACACAGCAATGTTCCAGCTATATGGCGGCGTGGCCCAAAGTTAGTTAGTTTGATTGTTGTTTAACGCCACTCTCAGCAATGTTCCAGCTATATGGCGGCGTGGCCCAAAGTTAGTTAGTTTGATTGTTGTTTAACGCCGCACACAGCAATGTTCCAGCTATATGGCGGCGTGGCCAAAAGTTAGTTAGTTTGATTGTTGTTTAACACCGCACACAGCAATGTTCCAGCTATATGGCGGCGTGGCCCAAAGTTTGTTAGTTTGATTGTTGTTTAACGCCACTCTCAGCAATGTTTGTTGTTTAACGCCACTCTCAGCAATGTTCCAGCTATATGGCGGCGTGGCCCAAAGTTTGTTAGTTTGATTGTTGTTTAACGCCGCACTCAGCAATGTTTGTTGTTTAACGCCACTCTCAGCAATGTTCCAGCTATATGGCGGCGTGGCCCAAAGTTTGTTTGTTTGATTGTTGTTTAACGCCGCTCTCAGCAGCGTTCCAGCTATATGGAGTCGTAGCGCTAAGATCACTTTGCAAAACTGGCCCTGCTTCACCAACTGCAAGTATTTCGACCTACCAAGGCTTCGTGAATACAAGGGGAAAACGCAGGAAATAAAGTGGGTTGGTCACAGAAGTGCCCCTGGTAGAAACTACATACTGCAGTTAACAAAGAAAATCATCTTACAAGAATGCAAATAATTATCCTTTAAATCATAAGTATTATGGTCGAATCTTTATCAGAATAAGTATCAATATAATTTTACACTTACCGAACACAGAAATGATATGGTGTTTTGAAGCGAGTCTTGTATATTGGCACTGGAGGCTGGAAAAGGTTGTTACACATCAACGTAATGCTATCAACTGTTTTGTGAGAGAAGTTAAGCAATGTCCTTTTCCAGGTCTCGTCTTGAGAACATGTATATGTTACCTGATACGTGGATGCAGCAAACGCCATACACCGGTGTTTACTTAGCAACCTGTACAATGTGGATACCATAATAGATACGTCAACATAAACAATGTTAAATAACGTACGCTGGGGTAACCTTGTGGTTACAGCGTTCACTCGTCACGCTGAAGACCAGAGTTCGATTACTCACATGGGTACAATGTGTGAAGCTCATTTCTGGTGACCCCGCCGTGATGCTGCTGGGATATTGCTGAAAGCAGCGTAAAACTAAACTAACACACTCACCCAATTACGTAATTACAGATTACGGAGCAGGGTAGGACATGGACTGTGTTGTATGGTGAGACGGTTTAACTCCGCTTACAACAGTATTCGAATTATAACACGGCTCAACCTGGCGCGTCAGACCTTCTCATCCATACACACCACCCAGCGCCTGTCTTAGTGAGCAATGTCACGGCCGGGGACATCAGAAGCAGGCTTCACACAGTGGACCACTGTTTAACCCGGGTCTTCGGCTTGACAAACGCTTCTAAACACTCACCCCCTACCCCTGAAGCAAGTTACAGATTAATCACAAAGTGTACAAAGAAAGATCGTTTTAGTTTTTATATTACTAGTTACAGCGTACAAGTGACGAATACTGCGTTATGTGTTCAGTACACCGGTACAAACTATAATAAGACATACTCATGCCATGTAAACAGTTCTCTTACCAGTCGTGGACACAGAAACTAGCAGCACGACCGCCAGAACCTTCATCATGTTCATTGTGGATAAAGAGATGGGGACCTAAGACGCAATGATTCTAAAGCGACAGGATATGCCTGTATGATATAGACAGATACCAGTAGTTAATGCAAGTCACTGCGGTGTTTCTAATATTCCCATCCCTGTAATTAATGTATCATAAAGCGGATCTAACTGTACGGTATTGCAGAAACATCCTGTTTCGTCCAGATATGTCAGCAAGTCTCTGTGGTGAAAGTGGGATAGGTAACATCATCCGGGAGACATCTACCACCCGGAAATGGCTAGGGGCAAATATGATTGTAAGGCTCTCAGAAAGATACTCACTATTGTGAAAGATCGGAAAGTTTCGAGGACCCAGTCCATTCAAACGTAAACACAGATATTCGGATTACTGGGGAATTTCTATGGTTTTCGAGTATGATACTCTTTTACATATCTCAACATATGAAAGAAAGACACGTAAGATGTTAATCAATAGATGAGACATAGTTAACGCACATGAAAAAGCACAAAATATCTTTGAGATGACCCTTGTGCCTGTAGGCAGCACGTGCATTTCATGCCAGGTGAGTCGGCGGTCCGTCGTCATACCTGGCTGAGCGACCTAATTGCCATCTATAGTCTGATCTATTGTTTTCAGCAACTATTCGTATTTTTCTAAGTTTTGACCAATTTTACGAATAAACATGCTTCTCTGGATATCGTATTACGCATCCCACTGAACGCCACGTTAGGCCGAAGTGGGTTATTTCGACATATGCGGCATATTTGCAATTGTGTAAATTTTAGGGATACAGTGTAACAGCCTAAAAACAGGGTTTTTTCTATTTCCGACAGTACTTTTTTAATTTTTAATTTTTTTAAGACCAGTCCCACCGGCCAACCTCCAGCTGTAATATATGGAATAAATGACCAGGGTACCTTAGCTATAAACACTACCGTAGGCTATGTGAAGGTCTACCGTAAGTCTATGTGAAGGTATGGTAGTTACGGTCACCTTAGCGCTAAGATTTGTACAACAGCACCCAGTTCCCAATCGTGACTTGAACCGCACATTCGTCCCACAGGGTAGGCCGATCCAAGTTTTCGAAATACACTTGTCAACGATCGATCGAGGCGCTTGTTGTTTGTTTTCAGACTCCTATTTCTGAAGAGATTTTTTTGTTTGGGGAAATGAAGTTACTAACTGGACATAAAACTTAAGAATAATAATAAAGAATAAAGCGTAATTCGGGTTGGTCCCATTATTCAACGAGTTGGTGTAGTAATACAATGAGTCAATCAACCATTGAAATATTAATTGATGACTTTGATTACTGATGCACCTTTACTTTGGAAATATATATTCCTGCAATCGTTCATTACATGGGTGCTAGATGCGCGGCAGATCAGCTCAAACGTACAAACATGGTTCACTCATTGCATTGGAATGTTTCAAAGTGTCGCCAGGGGGCGCTCTCAGGTATGCAGTTGACACTACCTGAATGAGATCGAAAAAATTCGTCCAAGGGGAGTTAATCATTTATGCTAGGTTACGGAAATACGCGAATGGTGACGAATGTCACTGCAATGTTAATGTTCCTGAGGCAGTGACACAATCATTATAAAACAGAACGCATAGACCTATCAGACTAAACAATTTAAGGAGAAGATTAAATACCCTTTCAGGATGAAACGCATTTCTTTTAAAGATACCGCATCGTTAGTATGAGAGACGAGACTAATGTTTCTAAGTATAATTTTAAACATAATTGTATGTACAAAATTGCTGACCCCACCTAGTTCCCCAGAACAAAATGGGTGACCCCCCTCTTAAAATCATCATCATCACCCCCACCCCACCCCAGCCATAAATTATGAACCGTCCTTAATAATGGAAACAGGAAAGAGTGTTTGGTTGCAGTCTAGTACAATAATGGGGAAAACAACCTTACTTATTTATCGCATTATCATCACTAATGTTTATGGAGCGCGGGAACCAAGCCGACGTTTTATGTGCAAGTCGTCCTGAAACTCCAATTTCACGCCGTGCCTGAAAGACTGATGAGGATGACATCAGATGTTTGAGAATATCTGGAGAAAAAAAGGAAAAAATGTGAATCAAGTAAAACAATATTTTAAACAGAAATTCTGAAATAGGCTACAAATGAAAATGTATTGTTTTGTATTTTGAAAACCATTGATAAGCGACTTGAATGCACTTTATAACAATGACACCTGAACGATTATGGGTATTACTGATAATCTCTTATCTCAGTTCTTATTCAAAATTAGATTAAATAGAAATGTGAATGGCCTTCATACTGAATTATTATCATTGATATCATTTCTAAAAACAAAGGTTCAACGTAAGATCTCTTACACTGAAGATTTTACAATTTGCATAGATATACAGGGATTATACTCGTAGCTGTGTCGTTTTAATACATTTCCGCATCGTGATCCTACTTTTGACAGTAACCCAGGTGCGACTTTACCTGCGTTTGTCCTAGTTCAAAAGAAAGCAAATGGCGGATTGAAACAGCCGAGTAACAGGTAGGCGATATTGCATTTGATGAAATTATTTTGAGTTTTGTGATTCTCCCTATATACCTAGAAACAGGTACGACCAAAGATTTAGACAGCAAAGGTAAAGTGTCATACGTATACAGGTAAGAGAAGCAATCGCGTCGGGCATGACCACATTCATGTCCGATGACTTTCCGGAAGTGTATCAGAAATTTCAAATCAATAGTTTTGTCTTGTCCTGTCTATAAAACAGTAATCCTAATAGCTTTTTTACTTTACAAATTACATCTCAAATTGTTCGCGTATCCAATCATATTATTCCTCTTATTTGAAAAGTAAAATCAGATTACATAGGGATAATTTTAGAAACCTATGAGACATCTAAAGTCCCTGACTCACAACTTACACTGTGTATCAGAAAAAGGGTTTTGTTAATAATTTTAGTATATTTATAAATATTATTTGGGATGGGGATACGGGAGGAGCTCTTACCACCCAAAGGATCGTGAAAGGACGTACGTAGTCATGTTAATCATGTGTTAATAGGCAAATGGTATGTAGTCCTTAGAATCATATTGCTGTGCTTGATGGGAACGTGGAATCCAAGGGCTATATAGAGAATCTCACCCAAGTTCTTCTGATATCAATTATATCATCACGAGTTGATAAAGTTACAAATATCCGAGGCTTGCCGAGGATATTTTTACTTTATCAATGAGTGTTGATATATTTGATATCAGAAGACACGAGGGTGAGATTCTATTTATCATCCAAAATCACTCTTCATTAATTTTCAATGAAAAATGTACATCTCTGAACTTTTTACTGCCATTATACTTGCAGTGCAGCGATGTCATAGCATTGTGACGTCATCAAGTACATGACGTCATAGCATTGTCAGGGCAGGAACAATTTCTTTGAGTGGCATTTCCAGAAGTTGAATATGTCTTTCAGTATGTTCAGAAACATTTAAAGAAACATGTTAATACTTATCCTTATCAGATGATAAATATATTCTCCCAGTTGATCAGAGCTATTGCTATGTGCACGTCTTGACTGTCGGACCCCACCACTGCTCTCTCCTACCAGAGCGTCCGCGCAGAGAGCGGAAGGTCGCGGGTTTGATCTCCGACCGCGTCATACCAAAAGATGTTAAAATTTGGTACTTGTTGGTCCCTGCCTGGCGCTCGGCATTAATGGGTACAACAAGGACTGGTCGGCTCAGAGTCAGTATACTGTGTCTGAGTGGGGTATTCATGCTTCACTGCGGCATGATATCTCAGTCAGTTAGCACTATAAAACCAGTTTCAGTCTGGGCTAGTACAAGCAGCCGCATATACACATACGCATGCATGCGTGTCGTCATATGAGCGAAATATTCTCAAGCACGACATTAAACCCAATTTCACCTCACCTCACCTCTCTCCTACCTGAGCCGTAGAAGTAGTGTCTGGGCATCTGCATGATCAGTTCCAATCTGTCATCAAGTGCTTGTGTTACTACTGTTAGCTGTGTGTTCTGTATTTTGTATAATACAATGTACAGGCGTGAGACTTGTTTCAACCAGTCAAAGGGAGCCTGGAGCTTTCAAACGTGCATAACTTGAATGGTTAAGATAATTACAGTGAAGGAATTTACGTGACATATGAATGTCCTTGGAACTGATATCGATCTTGTTTGAGGGTATAATTACGTGAAGATTAAGTTTATCATGTTTATTACTGTTTGTTTTGGATATATCACAAAGAACTGACAGTTTCTTGATGCACATGTACTCGACACCAAAATGTTTAACTGAACTAGTTGACATTTTAGTAAAATCTCTTTATTCTTGAGGGCTGGCCCACTGCATTGTCATCACATTACCAAGTTATCATGTTAACATGCCCACGACCAAGTTATTGCCTCACCATGCCCTGGACCAAGTTATTGCCTCACCATGCCCACGACCAAGTTAATGCTGCACCATGCCCACGACCAAGTTATTGCCTCACCTTGCCCTGGACCAAGTTATTGCTGCACCATGCCCACGACCAAGTTATTGCCTCACCATGCCCTGGACCAAGTTATTGTCTCACCATGCCCACGACCAAGTTATTGCCTCACCATGCCCACGACCAAGTTATGGCCTCACCATGCCCACGACCAAGTTAATGCTGCACCTTGCCCTGGACCATGTTATTGCCTCACCATGCCCAAGACCAAGTTATTGCCTCACCATGCCCACGACCAAGTGATTGCCTCACCGTGCCCTGGACCAAGTTATTGCCTCACCATGCCCACGACCAAGTTATTGCCTCACCTTGCCCACTTCCGAGTGATTGCTTCACCATGCCCACAACCAAGTTATTGCCTCACCTTGCCCACTACCAAGTTATTGCCGCAGCTTGCCCACGACCAAGTTATTGCCTCACCTTGCCCACAATCATGTAAACACTTATCATGCCCAGGGTTAAGTTATCACCTCCGTCTGCTCATGACCAAATAATCACCTCACCATGCTGAGGATCAAAATGTCACCTCACTCTACCCACATAAGATGGTGAGTTAAAAAATCTCACCATGCTCCTTCCTGACAAGCAGTGATTAGTCTACAGCTATGTATATCCGA